TAATTCGGGAGCAATCGGGGCCAATCAGCACGGGTGAGTGGTGACGATGACCACAATCCAGGGATGTCTCGCAAGGGATTATTGCTGGTGTTGAATATTCGGGGGTCTAGTATGGGGAATTTCCAGGAGGCGATGGCTTCTCCAATTGATCGGGTGGGGCCGGAACTGATGTCTTCCTTCGGCTGGTGTCTTCGTGATGTCCTGGGGCAGGGGCAGAGGGGCGATGAGGGGAAAAGTCTGGGGAAGGGGTATCCAACGGTGGCGGGATTTACCTTTTAGGGGCAGTGTGTAGTGGGAAAAAATATGTAGAAAAATAATAAAAAATAAATGAATATGCCTCGTCACAAATATTACTTCCATTTGTTATAAATTTTCTACAAAAAATAAGCTATTTTTCCATGCAATTCTTCAAATGATATTTCATAGAAAAAAGTCATCGATGTTGATATTTCCAAATCGATTCGAACATTTTGACATTATTCTTGGAACGTCCTGTGCTAATTTTTAAGAAATGTTAATGCTACATAGAGTGTCTAATAACTTAATGAAAATAATAACCCATTTAATGTATGAAACAATAAAAATCATGAAATGGGGAACAGTTCACGCTTGCATCACGTGTTGGAAAGGCACGGGTATCCTCGATGGCCTTCCGGTAGGCCTCCGGCATTCGTTAGAAACATTCAATTCTTGTCAAGGATGAATTAGGTTCGTGGACATTAGATTGACCCACTTTTCGGTCGAATCCCGAATGTCACTTTTTATTCTTCTGAATCGCACGTCAGAAGACGCTCGAAACAGGACTTTCCCCTGGGATTTCCCACTGACACACAATATTCCAGAAAAATATCCTTGTTTCAGTCATCCGAGCACTCATCACACCTGACGTCAGTCGAACGAGAGTTAAGTGTGAAAATGAGTCATTGAGTAATCGAAAATCGAGAGGATGATGTGCGATTTTATGAACGATATGTTACGTCGATTAGGACAAAACATTTCATTAGAAATGATTTCATAGCAAAATGTATCAAATTCGCTAGGAAATTCTATTCGATTTCTATTGAATTTTTTATTATTTTTTGGAGAATTCTATAGAAAAATTCTGCAGCTTATCTGCGCATTTTTTTCTATAAAAATGTTCAATCTTTATAGAAATGTGTCGGCTCCAATTTTCTATTTTTTTGTTGTTTTTTTAAAATGAGAGTCGAAGAAAAATAGAGTGGAAAAGAACTTGAAAAATTCATGTCGCGGAATTCCTATAGGAAACGTCTCAATAGAGAAATTCACTAGAAAAATAAAATTCAACTGATTTTTTCGGTAAAATATTTTCTATGGAAATTTCCCATAATAAAGCGCTGTAAAGCTGTGGAATTATTCAATAGAATCGGCCAGAATTAATTGAGAATTTTTAATAGAAGCTCAATAGAAATTTAATAGAATTTTCCATCGAATTCGCTAATTGTTCTATAGAATTTTTCCGTCCCCGAGGAAAATTGAAATTGAGAATGATATGTCTGGAAACAATGGGAGCAGCGTGAGGTTGTAAAACTGCAGGTGGGGATTGTTCTTCGGAGATTGAGTATAGGTAGCCTTTAAGTCATATAAATACCAACAATCCAAATACAGTCATAGTTTGCGATCGACAAACCCTTGAAACGTCTAATCGATCGCGATCTGTCGAGTGGATGCAGCAAGGAGGAGAGAACGATATGGATTGTCGTGTGGGTCGGTGCACGTGTATCCTTAGAGTGAAGAAGGGTGAGTGTTATTCAAATATTTGCATTTTGTATTTTGATGATCATTGTTCTACCATTTCAGTAGCCAAGCGGTAAAATAGTTTAAGTCGACTTTTACTATTGGTCTGTTTTTAAAGAATATCTTAAAATCTAAGGGAGATAGCGAAATTTTTGTTAAAACTTTTTTTGTAGCCCTCAATTCGCCTTACAAAAAAGGTTGTTATAAAATTTTCGGTATCTCCATTAGATTGTAAAATAATCCTCGAAAACTCAGCTGCGAGCCAAGTTGTCTTAAATCATTTTACTGCTTCGCTACTGACTTCTCTTCACAACTGCGAAATTGTGCATCCATCTGTGGAAATTGGATAAAATCCTAGGGATACTTGAAATTTTCCGAGATGTTATTCCAAAAAAATCTAAGAAAATAGAAGGATACAAAAAACTAATCAAAAATTAGAATTCCCCCTGGACATTAACGTAGAAAATTACATCTCTCGAAATTGGAATTTCGATGTTGACCGCTTGTGATAAGAATTCAGGGGACATTTACGACTACATGAATTGCCGATAATGATTTATCGCGCAAAAACTACTGCATCGCATATTGTTGATGTAGTTACTGACCCCATTAGAGCTCATTAATCGCTCCCGTTAATTCTAATCAAGCAAACAATAAGGACTGAACATACAAACTTGGAAAATAACATCAAAAGCGAGTAGTTTCAAGAGAAACTTGTAATTCGTTTCGTTTTTTATTTTCCTGTCCATTCATCCAGGAAATTATGCAACTTTACCATGTCCTTTATTTAAGAGACATTTCAGTAGCGAAGAGGTAAAAAAGTCGATGTTAGCTTTGACTGATTTTTTGAGAAATATCCCCGAATCTTAGGAAGATAATGAAATTTTTATAATAGCCTTTTTTGTAGCTCCCAATTCGCTCTACAAAAAAGGTCTTGTCAAAAATTTTGCCATTTCTCTCAGATTTCGAGATATTCATTGAAAACTGGCCAATAGTCAAAATAGACTTGAACCATTTTATCGCTTTGTTACTAATTTAATGTAAAAAAGTTTATAGAGTTTTATTTTTCTGTACAAATTCTTTTCTGTAAGTTTTCCAAGTTTTTCTCGCTGCTTTTTAAAATTTGTTTTTCATAAAATCCATGAAAAAAAAAACTTCGAAAAATTATGCCCCAGAATTCTTATAGAAAAAATTCCAACAGAATAAATTATATAGAAAAGTAACAACTATAGATATTTTTCTATAAACCAATATCTATTTCGAAACGAGGGGGGAAGTTGCATAATTTTGAATAGAATTAGAGCACAAAACAAATAGATTTTTTCAATATAAATCTAATAGAAATGCACCAGAATTCCTTAGAGAAAGCGTTGGATTTTTCTCTTAAATTTTTTCATCCGTGCAATATTAGAAAATCCCCAAATATATCCCGAAGTTCATTTTTCGTTTCATTATTCATAAGAACAGAGAGATTTACCGTACATCTCAAGGACGTTGGACAAAACCATATGCAAGAACAAACGATAAAAAATGAATGGGAAAATAAAAATGAGTCAATTCCTCCGTGCTGTTGAATAATGCAACAATCGATAAAATTCCAGAGTTTTGTTCCTGGTAGCCTCGATGATTCAAGGTATCTCCAAATGCAATTATAATCGCCCTCGTATTCTCCATTACTCCATCGCTCAAAGTTTAATAAACTGCGACTAAAAATTCTAATTACCGAAGAGTTATTGCTTGTTATGTCGTGATTGAGACGTCAATGAGGGCGCAAATCTTATGGGAAGTGGAACAACAGACATCAATATTCACAGTATTCACTAGTTCAATTAAAGCTTGGACAAAATAATTACTCAATCGAGTTATCCTCGTGGACCAGGACGTGATAATCGGTTCAATACGTCACGAGCCAGTGGCTCTCTGATCTAGAATAATTTCTTATTTCATCATCCGATCTTTATGATTTGCTTGTTGATTGAAGCCCTTGAAATTGAGAGATCCGGGTGAAAGAAACGCATGACCTTGTGACTATACTTGTTTTCACTGGGGAGAAAAAATCGGTAACAATTATCCCTGAATTTCAATGCATTTGCAGCAATTTGAAGAAACAAGCCTATCCGACAGAAGGCATGTAACCGTTACTTTTTGCGTTATTAGTCTTTTTCATTTTTTTTCTCTTCTGTTAGTTCCATTGGTAGTAAGCTTCCGACTGGATTCGTAGCAATTCTCTGTCCTTGTGACAGCCGTACAACCGTAACCACATGCTACAAGGTGTCTACAGGAAGATATTCGGCCTTTCAATGAAATAGATTTATAAAAAAAAGTTTAAATATCTCTAGCACTGCACGGCCGATTGAGTCCATCCAAAATACCAACCTTCAATATTGTAAGAGCTATAATCATACCAAATTTTAACTTGCTATCTTCATTTTTTCTCAAAATATCGTGCCTACAGGAATGAAAAAAAAAACAACGAAAAAATGGGAATATCTCGAAAAATTTGTATGAATGGGTATAGATATTTTGATTGATTTAAATAGAAGCCGTCAAGACTAGCGTTTTGAAAAGAAGAAAAACTTAAATCCGTTGAATAGTTTGTGAGATATTTAACGAAATATATTTACACAAAAAGTTGCATATCTCGGGAATCACTTGGCCGATCGCGCCCATCCAAAATACCAACCTTTAGTATTGTAAGAGCTAGGATCATACCAAATTTCAACTTGCTCTCTCCATTTTTCTCAGGTTATTGTGCGTACAAGATTTTTCATGAAAAAACGGAAAAATGCCAATGTCTCCAACTTTGTGTGAAGGTACTTTCTCAGTGAGTTATACTTGGTGAAAATTTCGCAAGGAACTGAAGACCTAAAATTTGGATCATATGTTGTTGAGCACATGTGAAAACGATTCCCAAAATTTCAAGTATTTTTTCCCCGCGAATTTTTGAGATGTACATCGACAAAAACTTAAAAAAGACCAAAATTGAATGTTTGACAATGGATATCTGAAAAATTCGCGTGGAAAAAATACTTGAAATTTTGGGAGTCATTTTTACATGTCCTCAACAACATGATCCAAATTTTAGGTCTTCAGTTCATTGCGAACTTTTCACCAAGTATAACTCACTGAGGACCTGAAAGGGTATGTATATTTTGATCCATCTATATATAGATAGAGGCCATCGAGACGACTATTTTGACAAAAGAAAAATTGGAATCGGTGCTACTGTTTTTGAGGTATTGAGGAAGACCGAAATTTAAACAAGTTATATCTCAGAAACTACTGCACCGATCGGGCTTAAATAGCGCGCTGAAGTTGAGCGTTAATCATAGCTACAATGAGCCAAAATTTTAGATTTTTATGTAAAATTTTCACCGTATTTATGTTGAATTTTCTAAAAATTAATCACAGAAAACCCACGTGGTCACATACATACAGACATACAGACATGGCCCTAAAAACATCATTTTTTCACATTTCGTAACATTTTAGACCATTTGCAATCAAAATCGAAAAATTGGCCAAACACAAGGCTTTCATTTGGATGCAAAAACAAAAACTCTAATAAAAAATTTCACTTTTTTAAAAGAATTTTGCATTTCTAATGGTCTTCTATAAATATTTTATTTTTTACTAAATTTACTGCATATTCTATTTTTTTATTTTATATTTACGATTCCGATTGGAGAAAGATTGAAGACATCCCATATGAGATTTCACATGTTACATAGTTTTCAGTGTCACTTGAGATGATTTTTCTAAAGACAATCGTTCTCTAATATTCTAGGGAATTCAGAATCCGTGATAACGATTGTCTTATTGTCATGTTTAATCTCCTCTCAGTCGCGAAAAGTGTCAGTGGCAGGAGTTACGGTCATAGACGTGAGTATAATACACGGGAAGAGGGTTTTGTCACGGACACGCTCTATTCTTGAAGAATTAATCATTCTCAAATGAATAGAGAAACACGAGCAAGATTCATTACTAGTTACGGTTGCGATTGTACCTTATACTAATCAATTAAATATTAATTTGGAACGTTTTGACGTGACAAAACACTGAAGTGTACCGATACATCAAAAGAAATGTTGAAGATATTCAATTACAATTTGATTGGAGGAAATAATGATGAGAATGAATCGATGACTGATGATTGGTAGAATCCAGCTGTTTGAAATCGAGGGGCTCTCGGTGAATTATTGATAACTGCTATCGAGTACTGTAGATTGCTGTAGTTAATGAACTTTGATTGAAAAGTAAGCTGCTGAATGGTTTATAGTTGAGCTGATAGTTGATAACGTAGTTCTGAAGTGAGACTGAGACTGACATCCCTTTTCAGTGATCTGCCTTTTTAAGGAACATGCTGACCTCCCACTTTTTCGCGTTTACCTTTGATTTCGCTCGTTTTATCGCCTTTATGACACTGTCTACTCACCTACCGTCATTATCAATGTCAAATTTATTGGTAATAAACAATAGTAATAAATGTACGGGTTTATTCAGTGAGAATCAGGGAAAGTATTCAAGGTATTCAATTACAATTTGATTGGAGGAAATGATGATGAAAATGAATCGATGACTGACGATTGATAGAATCCGGTGGTTTGAAGCCGAGGGGCTCTCGGTGAATTATTGATAACTGCTGTCGAATACTGCAGATTGTAGTTAATGAACTTTGATTGGAAAGTAGACTGCTGAATGGTTTATAGTTGAGATGATAGTTGATAACGTAATTTCAAAATGAGACTAAGACTATTACCACTCATTAATCTGCCTTTTGAAGAAAGATTCTGATCTCCTACTTTTTTGGGTTTAACTTTGATTTCGCTCGTTTTATTGCGTTCATGGCTCGGACTGCCCCCTATCTTCATTATCAGTGGCAAATTTGTTAGTTTATAATTTTCGGCTGTGGTTCCTCCAAGCGTTTTTTTTATTCTCATGTTGACTCTTCATCTCAACGTGATCACTGCCCGCTATTGTAGATGATCTTCTCACCTTCAGGTTAATTTACCTGCGCGATACATCATCTTTTCTTCAGAATGACTTTTTCGCGCAATTTTATTATTTATCTGTATTTTATCAAGTAAGAATGACATGTTCCTCTGATTCCTATTATCATTTATTACACCGTTTTCCACGTACGAAACACGAACGTTAATGTAATTGTTACGTTATTCTCCATTGACTCGGGGCTCCGCAGCAGTTTAATATATTCGAGACCGTCGAATCAGGCTCAGTCGCACGGCGTCGCTCACGCGAAAAGGTACCTCGCTGCACTCCACCCGAAACTGACGTTTATATTCCGTCTCTCAATGAATCCTTTATAGTTTCAACCGAACATCGAATTACCAAGAGTTAATTTTCCGCTTTCAATACAAATTAAAATCCGTTCTGTGAAAAATTTTTGTGAGATGAAAAACTTCGACTCATCATAGTGACAATAAATTTCTCCCGAATGATAGATACCTGTTGATGATCTCATTTCACATCGTCATTGATATCTGAATTCATCGACAAACCTACTGTGTGGTGAAATCGAAATTTCGAGAGGTATACGGGGAAATTTTAGGTGAAGATGATGAATGGGAGCAGCACGGTTGTTGATGAGACTAGTAAAGTACCTGTTAAGAAGCTGGCTCCATTGAGACCGTGGAATGAAAATGTTGCGGAGAGTGATCTAGATGTGCCAGGAACACCCAGAACACCAAGAACATCAACAACCCCAGGTATTGTTTCCGAAACGGAAAACTCGAGTATGAAAAAGATTGATCGAAAAACTATTGGAAATTTTCTATTGGAACTCTATTATTATTTAGTAGTTAGCAGAGGCCAAGAACTGCTAAATAATTAATAATTCAATCGAATCTTCTCCACAACATTGGAACTCTATTAAAATTTCTCTTGAAATTCTATTGGAATTCTATTTAATGATTCGATTTGTTTTTGCCCCAATTCTATGGAAATTGCAACTTTACCGTGTCATTTTGTTGAGAGATATTTGATGGAACGAAGTCAGCAAATTACGATTTTTCTATAGAAGTTCTTATAAAGGCGCGAATTCCAATTTTCTTTCTTCGATTTTAATAGTAAAATCCACGAAAAACACTTGGGAAATTTTTAGTCAAGAATTCGTATAGAACAAATCCCAACAGAATAATTTATTGTCATGGTTTTAGTATTTGACCCTTATATTTATCCACTTAACCATTGGGACAGATATACATTTGTAAAGATAATGAGTATTTTGCTATAAAAATTATTGAGGATAAATGTGGTTTAACGCATTTTTCGACGGACGTCACATTATATCGAAGAATCAATATCTGTAGACGTTTTTCTATACACTATATTCAATACTTATTTGAAAAGAAACAAAAAAACAAATACAACTTTTTAATAGAATTCTAATAGAACTTCAATACAGTTTCTCAAAGAAAGCGCTGGTATTTTCTAATAAATTTTTCACCTGCGCTTTGAGGTCTCTCATAGAATAGAGGAATCCGTTTTTCAAATTTGAAATGCAAAACGGAAATTCATATGCTTAAATAAATGTACGAAAAAATTTCATGGAAAAAGTCAATAGGAATCGATTTTTCTGTACATCTTACTGTATTATGATATTTTCTATAGAAAACCTTCAGCTCAAATTTTCCAAGTTTTTTGTTTGACTTTTTTATGAAAAAATAAATAAATAGAGTAGAAAAAACTTACAAAATAGTTTATATTGGAACTTTCCTATAAGACAAACGCGCAGTGCAAAACTAATAGAAGTTCAATAGAAATATAATTTTCTATAGAATTCGCTAGATTTTTCTATGACTCTTCATCGTGCGCATAAAAAAAGGACACGCCGAAAACATGAGAACAAAAGCAGATTACAGTTATCATCCAGAAATTGTATCCCGCGAATGTAACTGTAGATTTACGAATAGCTGGTGTTGAATTATTATTTCGGCCGGAAGTGAATAAACAACTCCAGATTTTTTTGGTTTTCTTTATTACCCCATTGTCCGTTTTAATTATCCTCTAGATGGAAAATAAGGGAAAATGGAGGTGTGCGGTTCACCAATTTCAATGCTCATTTCTCACACTTATTTTCGTAGATAAAGATCGGATAATTACGAGATTCGGGGGAGCGGAGAAATGAGAGGGTTTTCATGTCAGATGTAAACACGAGACTTTTTCTCGTTTTAAAGAGAACAAAATGTTTTATCGGAGAACACAATATTCGAAGTGTTTCCATATGATTTGGCATTATCACTGTCATTATGTACAATGAGGGGTCACATAGCAAAGCAACTCACCCGATAGCTGGTGTATGCAATCGTTTTACCAACTGATTTCGTCATTTTAAGACTTCCATCATAACATATATGTCGGTGGTTAAAACATATCCCAATGTTATGTTGGTTTATTACATAGCGATGCCATTAATTGCAATCAACTCTGGGTTTTTTATGGATATCTCTAAATCTAAGCGAGACAGGGGGATTTTTCTTAAAGCCTATTCTGCAGTTCTCATTGCGCTCTATAAAAAAGATCTTATTGAAAATAGTTCTATCTCGTTCGTATTTCTAGAAATTCACCAAAAACAGACCTCTGGTCGAAATTTAATCCTCTCGAAAAGAACCTTCGCAAATGAAAATTGATCGTAAAGACAATTCATCTATAAATGATGTATGCAATCGTTTCATTAAGTAATTTCGTCATTTTAACACTTCCATCATAACATATATGTCAGTTTTTAGAACATATCCCAATGTTATGTTAGTTTATTACATAGCGATGTCATTAATTGCAATCAACTCTGTTTTTTTATGGATATATCTCTGAATCTAAGGGAGATAAAAGGATTTTCCTCAAAGTCATTTTTGCAGTTCCCAGCAAACAGTATGTCGACAATTTGTCGACAAATTGCCGGCGTCCTGTTAAATTTTAGATGGCACTGGCAAAAATTGTTTTCTGGGTTCTCATTGCGATCTACAAAAAAGATCTAATTGAAAAATTTTCAATCTCGCTATTGCTTCCAGATTCATCAAAAACTAATGTCTGATTGAAATTTACTCAGGGAGATGGAGAAAAAGAATCCTCTCGAATGAAAATTAATTGTAAAAATCGCAAAAATATCTTGAAAACGCAAACTAATGACAATTCATCTCGCTCCACACCTGATACATAACTCTCGATTGCAACATGAGAACTTGAAATCCCTTCGCGGATCATTTTTTCGTGTGATCTGATCTCATACAGCGGTACTCGTGGAATCGATACGGATAAACCGCAATCCATAAGTCAAAAAATGAGAGCAAACACCTTTAGCAACTAGTCGTGGAACTGATCCCACATTAACGTTATCAATTTTCATTAATGCAGGCCATGAAAAGTGTACGTTTCATCACGACTTGGAGTTGGATCATCGACCACCAACGAGGGAGGCCCTTTTACCAGAGATGTCGAGGAGTTACAGGTTGCTACTAGGGTCTCTCGGTGAGGATCCCGATCGAGAGGGCCTCCTGAAAACCCCTGAACGAGCTGCCAAGGCCATGCTCTTCTTCACCAAGGGATATGATCAAAATATCGATGGTAACACGCATGAAAAAAATTAATAAGAGAACTTAAAGGGCTTTTGCTAAGAAATTCTACTGAATGCTGCTAAGTTTTATTAAAATTTTATTAAGAAATTCCATTTGTTTTAGAGCCATTTCTATAGGAGATTATGCAATTTTACCCTGTCATTTTGTTAAGAAATATTTTATAGAAAAAAGTCAATAGATTTTCATTTTTCGATAGAAATTCTAGGGTATAAATTTTTCAAGTTTTTTCCGCTTTTTTTCATTTGTTTGTGATAATAAAATCCAAGCAAAAAATTGGAAAAATCATGCGCATGAATTTTTAGGGAAGGGTGGGATAAAATGGACACTTGACTTTTTTTAAATGTTCATAACGTGTTGAATTGTTCATGAAATGCAATAATTTTGTTTTTCAATTGAAAGGACAATGATTCCCTCTTGTGATTAGCTTAGACTGAGCTCAACTGATGAATCTGTTTCTGAGTTATGAATATTTTTAAAAAAGTCAAAAGTGTCCATTTTACCCCACCCTCCCCTATAGGAATAATCCCGACAGAACAAGTTACATTTGAAAATCAACATCTATAAACATTTTTCTATAAACAACTATCTATTTGAAAACGCGGAGAAACGTTGCATAATTGTGAATAAAGTTGACGTATGAAAGAGTTGAATTCTATTGAATTTCTATTGGCGGTCTATGAGAATTCTCTTAAAGTTTCATCAGAATTCCATTTTTTTTGCAACATTTCTATAGGAGATTATGCAATGTCCATTGAGTTTGATTTTTCTGTAGAAATTCTTTGGCATAAATTTTTCACATTTTTTTCCGCTTTTTTAAAATTTATTTCTGATGATAAAATGCAAGAAAAAAAAATTGAAAAATCATGTCTTATAATTCTCATAGAAATAATCCCGACAGAATAAGTTATCTTAAAAAATCAAAATCTGTAGACGTTTTTCTATAAATAAATGTCTACTTAAAAATGCGGGGACGTTGCACAATTTTCAGTAGAAGTGACACGAAAAACAAGTCTAATTTTTCAATAGAATTTATTAACGAAAGTGTCAGGTTTTACTATATCTAATTTAATGATTCATCCAAAAATATCAAGAGACTCTATTTTTTTTTTTAATTTATCAGCTACAAAAAAGCCTCTTACTATTATTTCCTAAACCCTATCTTTTAAACCTACGAGCATGAATAAATAAAATTCTATTAAATTCTATGAAAAAATTGCATTTGTTTTGTGCGCCATTTCTATAAAAAATAGTTGATAGATTTGGATTTTTCTACAGAAATTCTTGGGCGTAAATTTTCTCAGTTTTTGCAGCTGTTTTTAAATTTATTTCTGATAATGAAATCGAAGAAAAAATTGAAAACTCAACATCTATGGACATTTTTCTATTAACAAATAGCTATTTAAAAACGCGGAGGGGACATTAAATAATTGTTAATAGAATTGACGCAAAAAAATACAATCTGTTGAATGGAATTCCTTGGAGCAAGCGCTAGGTTTTGCTATGAAATTTTTTCGTAAGTGAATTTCTTTCATTCATTCGGTCCCGGGAATCCATAATGCATTTTCCATTGCCCTTCATTTTTTATTCTCAGACAGTATCAGTTACCTAGGAGACCGAGTGGTTACCTCGGTAATTCGTGAGAATAAAATATATCTCGTCCCTTATTTCTCATGTATTCTTTTGATGGGGAAGTTGGGAGAGAATGGAGTGACTCGAGTGGAGATTAACGGAAATTCTAGTGGGTGAGGGAGGCCGTATTTTCTTGTACTGTGGGGTTGGAGAGTGCTTTTTTAATACAATCGCAATTCTCTCGAGAGCCTCTTGTATGGGTGGAGTAAATCTCCCTCGTCATGTATATTTCATTCATGTTGGGATTCTCCAGATTTCAAGTGATGGAGATTTTTTCAGATAATTTCGTATTACGCATGATAAAAATTCTATAGATTTTTTTTTAATAAAAATATTTGATGGAACATATTTTATAAACTTTCTAAGTTTTTCCCATTTAATTTTTTTCTTCTCTGTTTATCAAAGAAAGCAAATGAAATACATAAAATTTAAACTGATGAATTTTCTATACGAAAGGTCTCAATAAGTTGTACAGGAAAATGGAATTTTTTTCGATTTTTCTGTACATTATTTTTTATTCAACATATCCATTGAAAAAAGTATAAATAAGCTGCGAAATTTTTCGATGGAATCCCCCAAAAACTAATTGTATTTTCAATAGAAATCCAACAAAATTTTCTAGTGAATTCCCTACGTTTTTCTCATATTGTATACATGTAATTCCATATAAATTTCATACATAAATATGCATAGCATAGCTGGTTACATCTCATCCCAACAAAAGTTACACATTGTGTAGGCAAGTGTGTACATCATTTCAATGAATTAATATCAGAACATGTCACCAAACCTAGTGAAAAAACCTAAGGCAGAGGTGTACCATGCCTGATCAGAATTTCGGATCGGACTTGATCAGTTTCTGGTCGAGACCTGAACAGAATTTCCACTCGGGAATAATAAAAATCAGGCCCGGTCGCTCGCTCCCTCGTTGGGGTGTGACCGGTAGAGATTGGTGGAACCAATAACTTCCCGACCGATTCCTCTTTTTCTGTTCATTAAAAAAACAAGCAGGGGGCCGAGCCTATCCGACAGAAGGCATGTGACCGTTACTTTACGCGTTGTTAGTCTTGACATTCCTTTATTTCTGCCAATTCCATTGGTAGTATGCTTCCGAATGGGTCCGTTGCAATTCTATTTCAAAAAACTTCGATTGCAAGAGGAAAACACACCATTCTCATGATAACCTTCCTTTGAAGTGGAAAGGTGTAAAAATGAGGTTTTTACATTTGTTGATTTTTCTTTCTTTATTCTATTCCATCAATTTTCAGTGTTTTCATTTTTTCGAATTTCAGGAATTTCAAATGAAAAAGAAATTACAAAAATTGGTCTGGGTTGTTGGTCGGTCGCTCCGCTCGCTCTCATTGCTTTTCAACTTGAGTAGATTAACTTTAAAGTTGAAAAATTTTCAACTCCAAAATTTTTCAACTTTAAAGTTGANAACTCCGAAGCTGATCCACTTAAAAATTTGCAGCTTCAAAGTTGACCCACTTCAAAATTTTGTAACTTTTGTAACTTTAAAGTGTAAGTTAACCCACTCTAAAATTTTCCGACTTTCTCCCTTTTTTAATTGCAAAATTCGAAAGTTTTATTTGAAAAACTGAACAACCACTGAGGCGATTTCGCTCAAAATCCAATGAGATTTTGTTCATCAAGTTATGTGGAGACGCATCGATTACACAAAATTAATTCAAATCCCATCGTTACCTTAGGTAAAATGGTCGAATTTCTATGAAATTAACGCTTTTTGGCATTTTTTACAAGTTTTATACACATAAATAAAAAACCGCGGAGTCAATTGTTTTCATAAACTAATCAGTTCTAAGTTACATGAACACGCATCGTTTGAAGGAAGAAAAAAATCAATCGCTTCATTCGTTCAGAAGATATCGTTGGACAAAATTTTGGTCACATGCGTCCACACACACACACACACACACACACACACACAGACATGCTTCAAAAATGTATCAGGATGATTCCGGAGGTCGAGAAATGTGGAGAAATCATCGAAATTCCACATTCGATTTTCGGGGTCATTACAATAACTTCCTCCCTTCGGGTCGGGAAGTTAATAATCGTAATCACAACACTAACTACCATCATAACCCTCCTTTTTGAAGTAGCATCCAACGATTAGATATAATCGTTCTCTGCCAGAAGTATCCTTTCGTTTTCAAAATATAAAGATAGGTCTCTGAAATTTTCCTCGTCCATCTTCTTATATAAAAAAGCGATGTCGCACGTTTATTCCGAAATGTCTGAAAGAGAAATCGCATACATGACGATGATAATATTGATTTTGTTGATAATGATGATCTTACTGGTGGCGCTAATGATGTTGGTGTTGGCGATTTCCAACGAAGTATGTACCGATTCTCAATTGAAGTTTTCATGGATTTCGACGAATTTTTCCAAGACTTTTAATAGAAGTTTCTAATGCAGGTTTTCATAGCTTTTGCCGCATCTCCTATTGATTTTCGATGGAAATTTCCATCGCTTTGGAATGAAAAAAATCATGGGCTTTCAATATAAGTTTTCATCGCGTCCCACGAATTTCTCCTTAGTAATACTATAGAGATTCGTATACATGAAAGAAACTATTGATTCCAATCAACTTAAATAATACCGTGATGAATTATATAAAATCTATCAAATTGTCAGGCACGCGGATCGTGCTTTCGATCTCGTGTTCCAAATACCGTAAGCAAACCGTCACCAGCTCTTGAACTAATACAAAAAAAATCCCGAAAAATTCCAATGGAACGTACAATGAGGTGAATCGCCAGACAATTCATCACTTACATTCCGTATAAATCCGATGAGGATTGAAACCCTTATAGGAATTGATGGGAAAATAAATTGAAAAGGTCAATGAGAATCTGGAAAAGCTCGATAGCTACAGGTGGCAAGGGAACTTTGCACCCCTACCTACTACTCCATTGCCTTTATGCTCGCCGCCTGATAACCCGGGTTAACCGGAAAGTAGCTCACCCCATCGGTGAATCAGAACGGAGGCTCAACGCTCAAGCACTCTAGCATAACAGAGGGGGAGACGAGAGGGTTACTATTGTGTGGGGAGGTTCTGCCTCGTTTTCTCCATCAGTCGATGCTTTAGAGACTTGGAGTATTTCGGAATTATTGAGGTGTATTCGCTTCGTCTCCAGATATTCAACACTATTCGTTATTTTTTTCTATTCTGAAGAGTAAATTTATTGTCCAAAGATACAAAATATTTTTATGCAATATCGCTCCGGGGGTCGTAGTTGACGATTTACAATACACGGATGAAAACATTTAATAGAAAAACCAAGCGAATTCGCTAGACAATTGTGTTGAATTTCTGTTCAACTTTTTATTAGTTTTTAGCCGATTCTGTTGGAATGTTCAATAGAAAATATTCTATAGAATAAGACAAAAGAATTCGATTTTTCTGTACAATTTATCTCACTGAGTCATTTTCTATAGAATTTCTTCAGCTCAAATTTTCCAAGTTTCTTTGTTTGATTTTCTTGATGAGAAGGAAAGAAAAATAGAATGAAAAAATCTTCGAAAATTTTAGCCGCGGAAATCTTATAGAAAATATGTGAAGGGTATAAGTTATATAGAAACATCGAATTCTATTGACTTTTCTAAAATAGCAAATAAATATTCACTAAACAATAGAATTGTCTAGGACAATTCAGTCGGCGATAATTCATAGGTGATGTTATTTCAATATATTTTGCTAAAATCGTATTCTCTGTTCTGATAATTTCAATAATTCCGAAAAAATTATAAAATGTTGAAATTAAAGAGGGAAATATATTATTATTTATTTGAGACAAATTCTTTCTAAAATGATATTTGAAGCCTGCCATTTCGTGGAATAGGTCAAAGCTTTTGAACTGTGATTTAACTATGTGTTTAACTATGACTCGGGCACTGGTTGTAGGTGTTGCTTGTTAAGGTTGCCTTGGTAACCGGACAAGAGCCACCCTCCAGGACCGTTGACATCAGCCACTGACGCACAATCTCCGTTACCCTTCCATTCGTTCATGTGCTCTCAAAACTGGGTCAATATCGGGTATATCACGTACATAATATCACAAAATTCCATTAAGTTGAAACAAAATGATTTTTCAGGGCTGTGAAATTTTTGTTTTGCCATTAGGATTTATCGAGGGATTGAATTATTTGTCAATGTAGGAATTTCTAATAATGAAGAATTTTTCCTGTTTTATAGTCTGCGATGATTTTCCTACAGCAATTATCCTAGATTCTCTTATTATTATTATTATTATTATTATTATTATTATTATTATTATTATCGACATATGATACATTTGCATGATACATTTGAACTCCGAATTATTGAAAATTGATGGGATTTTTCTATCAAATCTTTATGAAAAATTGATTTCTCATTATTCTTCTATTTGCCCATGTACTTTCAAAACAGGCTCAATATGGGGTATATCACGGACATAATATCGAGTTAATTATTCGTCAATGCAAGAATTTTCAATGAAGAATTTTTTCTGTTTTATAGTTTCCTGTGATGATTTTGAAATTTTCCAAGTTTTTGTCATTCTATTTTTCTTTTCTTTTCATCAAGAAAATCATATATTGAAAATATTTCAATAGAATAGGCCAAAAATTAATAGAAAGTTCAATAGAAATCCAATAGAACTAGCGAACGGGCGCTTCGTGCCCGTCGCTAGATTAATTTATACTATATGTTATTTTACTTTTTTTTCTTTCCATTTCCGTCGTCACAATTAGATTGATTTAATTCTATTCATTCTTATTGTTATTATATATATTTTTATTCCTTAATTCACAAGTTGTAACAGTGAATGAAGAGGGATTCCCCATAAATCACGTGAAAATACAGATCGACAAACAATTTTCGATAATCATACCTAAAGTTTTTCATTTCTTTCTTCTTCTTTAAATTAATGAGTACCTATGATCTAAAAATGTGAACGAATATGAACATTTTACATCCCTATTATATCACTTCAATGGAACCGAAGAAGGAAATTCCAAAGAAAGATCGATCATGATTAATCAGTATCAATAAAGTGAAAAAATCTATTTTTCTGTCTTTTCGAAATTTTTCAAATTGTTTTTTTCTTCTTAAAAAATGAAGGGAGATTCACATTTTTAATTTCTGTGATCGTATTCCGTTCAGAGAATCAGAAAATACGGGAAATGTTGGGAAGGAAAATCAGAAATTACATAATAATAACCCGATAAAATTTTTCATCGCCGATTTTTATTTTCTTGATTTTTTAAAATTCATTTTCCGAAAATGAGATCACAGAAATAGAATCGGGGGGTATCCGTTCATTATTCTGGGTGAAAATAAAATTTTTAGTCTCCAATTCTCAATTTCTGTCATTTATTCTATTCATTTTCTGAAAAGACAAGGATAGAAATCGAATTTATGAGTATTCTTCCATTTTTCGAAAAAATATATTGATTTTAAAACTTTCCGGAGGCATTGAAAACAATTTTTTTTCATTTCATCTTACCGACGTTTTTTTGTATTTTGTAATTTCTTCTCGTTAAAATTGGATCCCAAATTTGCGAAATATTCATATCCCGCCCATATTCGAAGTAAAAACAGTGATTCCAAGTTTCCACGGACAGAAATGAAGAAATAGTATCTTATGTCATTAGGCAATAAAAGTATTATCTGGCGAATGTGATTATAATCCTCGCCTTCGGCTCGGATTATAGTCACATCTAAAGCCACATTCGCCAGATCCAATTCGTAATTTTTGCAATTCATTGTCATTCATGTAATTATATTCATTCTATCAAAAGACAAGGAAAGGAATCGAATTTATGGTTATTCTTTCATTATGCGACAAAATAGATTTTAAAAGTTTCCGGAGACATTGAAAAATAATTTTTTTTAGTTTTTCCTGCCCACTTTTTTTTTACATTTTTTGAATTTCCCTCCAATACTTGACGAAAAAAAGTGATTCGAAGTTTTCACCCGAGAAAAAACTCCACTTTCACGCCGATTATCCCGTTCTGATTTTTTTTTTCATTTCCTTTCACAATAATAATTGGAATCCGACCATAGGAATGAGGAGTATCCTTTGAATATCCTTTACCATATGAAGATAAAAATAGATTTTAAAAATTTTCAGAAATACATAGATTTTTCTATTACCCGAATGAGATTTCGAATGATTTATTTTGTGTGTTTATGTCGATCACCAAAAAACACTTTATTGATCTTTAAGGATAATCGGGCGAGGAGGAAATGTTGGAGTTGAGGCGGAGGGGTTTCTATTGTTTTCCTGCAGAAAACCAATCGCTGAACAAAAAAATTTTTCCCATTCGGATTCAAAATTCAGGCAATATTAGGGAGTATCTCTGGTTAGAAATTATTTTTCGAGCTAATCAAATTTATTTGTATCTACGCATTGAATGGTTTTCAGATTATTTTTTTTTTAATAAATGAAAAAATATTAATCCATGCGCAAAAGTGGCAACATCGTCGATAGTTTTTTTTTCACCAGGAGCTGGTACCACTGGCTCCAGGGAGCTCCAATCACAACGCTTCATCGTTCTCTCTCAAGAGACCTTTAAACTGACCGCGCTACCCCCACCCGATCGGTACTTGGGACGTTGCTGCTCGTTTGGGCTGCGTGCGCAAAAATTTCATTTTTCAGTACTTTTTTCGCTATTATTAATAAACAATGCTCCTAGGCGACCATCTTTTTCACTCAAAAAATCATCGATCACATGTTCTAAATGTATCTAAAGTTTCATGACTTTGGCTGCATTTTTTCCTCGGGTTTTGCAGTTTTTTGTTGTGATTTCCATAAGATCACGGGTTAAATGACCACTTTATCAAAAATTCATAATAAATTAACCATGCTCCCCAGCAGTCTGAAACTTTGCACACGTCTTATCCATCATTTAAAGAATATTTAAAAAAAAGAAAAAAATGGCTGCTTTTTTACTAACCCTTCGGGCTCGCCTGATTATCCTTAACATAATTCCTCTTCATTCAATGTTGTAATGTGTAAATTAAGGAAAAAATATATATATGTATATAATAAGAATAAGGATGGGGAAAATTAAAGTAATCTAATTGTGAAGACGGAAATGGGATGAAAATAAAATAAAATAGTATAAATTAATCTAGCGACGGGCGCGAGCGCCTGTTCGCTAGTAAATTTAAAAAATCGATTTTTCGATAGTGAAGAAAAACCAATGTATTTTCTTTCTATTATCTAATTCTGATGAAAGAAAGTGAAAAAAATAAGAGAAACAAGATCAACACGACAACAGAATTTTTAATTTTTCTATGCCTAGGGAAAATTTTTCAATTGATATATTTTTTCGAATAATGAACCAATACCAATAAATTCAATTCCTATCCTGACATTTTCATAGATTACATAAAAAAAATAGCGAAGAATTCAAATCGGCGATGAAAAATTGTATCGGCTTATTATTATCCAATCGTCTAGCGAATTCGCTGGGTTTGTCAATTAAATTGTTTCGTACGTAGACTGAATAACTGGAATTGTACTAGGCACTTCACCATCAGAAAATTCACAGAAGCAACTCATCATAAATATGTAAACGAGAAATATAAATACCTAAAGGACTGTAAACTACAGATTTAGATAATTTAACGCAAAGAAGGCAATGTAAGATACTACATGAAAATTATGTGACAGTGTAAATAACTCAATAGATGGGTTGCATCAGTTTAAAACAATCTTTAAAAAATCTCGTTCTTAATTCACAGACGTGATAAACGACGCTGTCTTCGATGAGGATCACGACGAGATGGTAGTGGTGAAGGACATCGAGATGTTCTCCATGTGTGAGCATCATCTAGTTCCATTCTATGGAAAAGTCTCAATCGGCTATCTGCCCTGCAAGAAAATTCTCGGACTCAGTAAACTCGCAAGGTAATCAGGCCCAATTCCATGCGTAATACGATCAGATTGAAGGTGATGAATAATCAGCGCGCGTTTTAAACTCCAGTAATTCCTCAGGAGAGGGCAAAGAACCATACAATGGCATCCGTTCTAATGTATTACGACATTTTACTGAACAGTAATAGTATCTGTTGCATTTGCCAACTAATTTGTGGCCTTGGCTCCGTACGCTTGTATTGAGATATTGAAAAATCGATTTATGGAGAGCCAAGTCGAGTAACTTTCACGCGGACAATTCTATGCGTATGCCATCGCGGCATAGAGCACCTTGAGACACTGAAGAGTTACGAAAACTTATAAAATTAATGTTGGGGAATTCCTATGAAATGTCTCAATAAAAAAATTGTACAGAAAGATGAATTTTCCTGATTTTTTCTATCAAATAATTTCTGTTGGAAATTTTCTTTAAAAAAACGTGCAGTGCGCGCAAATTCTATTGGATTTTTATTGAATTTTCTAGTGGTTTTGTGACCGATTCTATTGGAATAATCAGCTTATTTATGCGTTTTTTTCTATAAAAATGTTCAGGAGAAAATATTCTATAGAAAAAATCAATGGAATTCGATTTTAACTTATTCTATTGAAATATTTTCTACAAGAATTCGCGGCTAAAATTTTCTAAGAAATTTGTTTCATTTTTTTTATGGAATGAGAAGAAAAAGTGGAAAAACTTAATAAATAACTTACTTATTATAGTACTTACTTAACTTATAAAATTCACGTCGAGGAATTCCTATAGAAAATGTCTCAATTGAAAAATTGGTATAGAAAAATGAATTTTTCAGATTTTTTATAAAATAGCTTCTGTTAAAAAATTTTATAGAATAAAAGCAGTTGTGGAGACGATTTCGACCGAATTTTCAACTTGTATTTTAGTTTTTGGCCTCTGCGGTCATTAGCTGATTCGAATCCTTTTTGTGGTACTTAGAATCTTTCACTTCGAATCAGCTAATGACCGCAGAGACCACAAACTAAAATACAAAGTAGAATAAAAGCGCGTGAAAAATCTGTTGATTTCTATTGAGCTTTCTATTAGTTTTTGGCCGATTTTATTAACAAATTCAATTTATCTACGCATTTTTTTCTACAGAATTGTTCAATGGAAAATTCCATAGAAAAAATGAATGGGATTCGATTCTTCCATACAACTTATTCTATTGAGATATTGTTTATAGAAATTCTTCGACTCAAATTTTCCAGGATTTGTTATTGAAATGATTTTTGTATGAAAAGAGAAGAAAAGAGAGCAGAAAATCATATAACATTCATATTAAAGATTTTCTATAGCAGAAAAATCATTCGAAAAAATTATATAAAAAGATGAAATCATCCTGAATCATTGTATAGAATAGTTTCTACTAGAAATTTCCTATAAAAAATGTGCAGCAAAGCTGCGCAATTCTTCAATAGAATCTTCTAAAAGTTAATAGAATATCAACAACGTGAAATATTTCCATAAAATTTTTTCCTGTCGGAACATGAAAAATTAACTCAAATTTTTCAATTAATTAACAAAACGTGAAATAGAAATACATATATTCTCAAAATAAAAACAACAATCCATGAATTAATTTTTACAATAATGAAAATATAAAATGATTTTTTTCATCCTCAGAATCGTAGAAATCTTCAGCAGACGTCTTCAAGTCCAAGAGCGCCTAACGAAGCAAATAGCAATAGCCGTGACAAAAGCGGTTCAACCCGCTGGAGTAGCTGTTGTCGTCGAAGGAGTGTAAGACAAGTTTTAATAATTTCATCCGTACTGATAAGACTATTTGCCTTCCATAATAAGAATTTAATTATCCATCAATTACATATTCACTTCGACCTTGTGCTAATAAAGTTGTAGCTCACATCATTCATCAAATGATTTTATCATTGTTTTTTTTTGTCACAATTTTTACATCATTGCGTGCAACTAATCTACAATCTCGGGATTATTATAATCTTACTCACGTAACTGAACCCGTACTGTCCTTCGTGGCAGACTAAACTGTCACACTCGGTAAATCAGCCTCTCACTAATTTTCAAATCAATTTTGAGATTGCTGTTATCGATTTTAAGTACTCCTGCATATCAGTAGTTTTTCTTTCCACAAATTTATTCCCGTATTTTATGAATCTCTTGCGTAATTTATTGACTGGAAATTGTAACAAATGACTCGACTTAATTTTTATTCGTTCATTCACTCGCGAGAAAATTTCATAGAAAAATCTAGCGAATTTGGTAGGAAATTCTGTTGAATTTCTGTTGAAAATTTCCAATAGCAACTATTTTAGAAAAAAAAATTGTAGAATTTCATCTATCTATATAAATTTTTCTATTGACACATTTTCATTTAAAAAATCCAATGAAAGAACATGGCAAATTTTAGAATAAATTGCATGGAAAAATGGAATTCTATTCAGTTTTTCTGTGGAATATTTTCCATTGAACAGTTCTCGTAAGCTGCGGAATTTTTCGATAGAATTCTCAAAAGCTAATAGAAAGTTCAATGAAATCCAATAGGATTTTCTAGCGAATTCGCAACATTTTTTTATGAAATTTTTTCTCTCGTGTTACGAAATTTAATCTTATCTGTTCATGAATTTTTACATTCGCTTTTTATTTTCCCAGTCACATGTGCATGGTTATGCGTGGAGTGCAGAAGATCAACAGCAAGACCGTGACCTCCACTATGCTGGGAGTCTTCAGGGATGATCCTAAAACACGAGAGGAATTTCTCAATCTTGTTCATACAAAATAGAATCTCAATAAATCCCTATTTTGATTGTCGAACGAGGGACGAGTGAGTGTTGAGGATGACATGGGGGTCCTCTTCATGAGAAAACTCTGACTCATTCGTGGAGCCTATGACATCTTCAATAATCTCTAGATAAAGTATACAACAGCTACGAAATATAAACCCAAATCACAACGAAAACGAGAGAAACTTGGAGACGAGATTGAAACTGCGAATGTTGTGATAAGTGACAATAATCTAGTTATTTGAGGCTTAAATTATCACTAAACGATAATTGTGCAAGTTTCTCTTGTTGATGGAGGTGCAGGCGAGAAGAATAATCTCTATCTCGACTGAATTACAACTGACGTTTCCCTCTTGCAATGACATTTCACAATAACCAAGGTTAAACGTCTGAAGCGTAGCTAGTTCTCGTGAGATTCAGCAGCCATGGATCTCATGATAAGTGATAAAATTAAACTTCACAGGGATGAAAAACTTTAACGAAAGTATATCGCAGTCGAAAGTGAATTTTTATTATTTTTTAGGCCTGTTGAAACTGCCGAATTGTCTAACTTATGAATTATTTAAGATTAGTAGATTGGGAGATAAATGAACAAATTCTCAAACAAGTCTTGTTTGGGCCAAAGAAAATAGGAGAGTACGAAGTACTAATGCTACATGCATAAAAAAATTTGATTGCAAAATCTAGCGAATTCGCTAAACAATTCTGTTGGATTTCTATTGAACTTTCTGTTAGTTTTTGGCCGATTCTATTGAAATGTTGAATGGAAAATAGAAATTTCTATAGAATTTCCTCGGCTCAAATTTTTTTTATTCTATTTTTCTTTTTTCTTTCATCAATAAAATCAAACAAAAAACTTGGAAAATTTGAGCGGAGGAAATTCAATATAAAATATTTCAATCTAATCTAATCAATCTAATTCTATTGACTTTTCTCCAAAATATTTTCCATTAAATATTTCAATAGAAGTCCAAGTTTCTTTCATTGAATTTTTCTTTCCTTTTCATCAAGAAAATCAAACAATAAAATTAGAAAATTTGAGTCGAGGAAATTTTATAGAAAAGATTTCAACAGAAAAAGTTGTGTAGCAAAATCGAATTCCATTGACTTTATTTACTGAATAGTTTCCATTGAACATTTCAATAAAATCGGCCAAAAACTAATAGAAAATTCAATTGAAATCCAATAGAATTGTCCAACGAATTCGTCAGGTTTTTCTATTATATTTTTCCATATATCTAAAAATGACATTTCTTGCTTGCACAGACAATAATTTTTTTTTCGGAATAACTGAATCTATTTTTGCGACAAAAATTTTTCATCTCATGACAGTCTTGAGATCGTCAGCACTCGATTTAATTTTTTTCGTGACTTTCAAGTTTTGAAAAGGTTCTTTCTTCTCTTAGTGTGGGGTAGAGGGCAATAATCTCCAGAGTACAGTGCGATACAGCCAGTCGCGTGTAGTCTGTTCGTGCCTTTCATCACAAATCACTCTTTTATTTAATAAGTAAGTAGCATCTGGAGTCGTGGAGTGGTGGAACAGTCGAATTAACTTCAGTAATGAAATTTTCGTGAGAAACTTTGTTGTGATTCTTTTTTTTCTACAGAAAAGGTTTTTATCAAGATTTCACAATTATGCATGAATCTCATAGAAAAACTTAGCGAATTCGTTAGACAATTCTATTGCATTTCTCCAATAAATAATATAGAAAATATAAATCCTAAAAAATATATTTTCTATTAAAATATTAAAATATTTTCTGTTGAACATTTCAATGGAATGAGCAAAATCTAACAGAAATCCAGTAGAATTGTCTTCCTTCAGAAAAAATAATAAAATTAAAATAAAAAGAGAAAAAACAGCTACAAAAAATTTTCACATGAAAATATCGTGAAATTCTTCATGAATTCATGACATATTAACAAATTTTTGAGAAACACTTGGTTGTTCTACCACTTTACAGATGATTTATTCTACCAAATGCCCTCGATTCTAAGAATTAATGATAAAAATACTTCAATCATCATGAAATCATATTAAATCATCCAGCATTAACTGTCAAGTATTCCATTGATCCAATGGATTTATTATTAGACATTTCAGTTTGGTAACGGTAAAAATGGAAATAGCCTAGGATAGACATCCACTATTATTTTTACGGTATTTATTAATTGCACAGGCTTTCAATCATTTTCAATGCGCGGAACTCCAGGGAGTTCCGATCGAGAGGATAACGATGGGAACAATTGTCGTGAATTTTTTCCGAACATTAGGACGTTATTTTTTGGTATGAAAAAATAGGAGAATTTAAATCCCAGTTGTTGGATTGTTAACTTGGTGATGACAATGTTGTTGATGGGAGAGTGACAAATACTTTTTGAATGTTTAATTGTTCAGATTTACAATGTTCTTCTGATGAGATTATAATTATATTTTAAATAAAAATGTCGATGGTATGATTCAATGCCTATTCTTTACCTCTTTTCAGGGTATTCAGCGATCGAAAATCCGTCGAATTCTGTGGCAGGGTTCACAGCGCTTGGGCTCTTGGGTATTTTGTCTCGTGGCTGGTGTGAAGATGTCGATGCAGTGGAGTGCACGTGAATTTTCACGAGGGGATTCTAAACGAAACGAGATAAAATTTGGGAGAAAAACTTTGCGAATTCGATAGAAAATTCAATTGAATTTCTATTGACAATTTCATTAGTTTTTGAAGGATTTTGCTGAAGAATTTAGCAGCTTCTTCGTGTTTTTTCATACAGAAAATTTCCAGTACAAATCATTTCATAGTAACAAACAGTAGAATTTCATGTTTCTATATGAATTGTTCTATTGAGACATTTTCTATAGAAACTCCTCGACATGAATTTTCCAAATCTTTTCCAGTGTATTTTTCTTCATTTTTCATTAATAAAAATCAAAGGAAGAAGCTTGGAAATTTTGAGATGAAGTGTTTCTGTAGAAAGTTCCATAGAAAAACAGTAAGAATTTCTAGGAATTTCGTTTTCTACAGAAAATGCTCAATAGAAACTATTTTATTTAAAAAATTGGTAGAATTTCATATTTTTATACATTTTTTCTATTGAGACATTTTCTATAGAAATTCTTCGACATGAATTGTCCATATTTTTTTCAGTCCATTTCCCTTTTTTCATAAAAAAAAAAATTTGGAAATTTTGGTGCCGAGGCATTTCTATAGAAAATATTTCAATAAAATAAGCTTTAAATTTCTATAGAAGCGACGTTGGTGGCCGAGTAGGCTAGACGCAAGTCTAGTCTACTTCAAGTCAAGTTCGATTCCCAGTGGAACCGAATTTTTCAACGAAAGGCTCCAGCGAGCGGGAGGTTGCCAATAGAGTAACCGCCTGGACCGGCATGGGTTTCCTGTGGTTTCCCATGGTACTCCAATGTTCTACAGGAGTGTGAATGCGGTACAGTATGGAATCCACAGCCATATGCATAGGGGGTTGGATAGAGTGTCGAAATGACACCCGAAAAAGAACTCAAAAGGCAGTAGAAAAATTCTATAGAACGTTCAATAGAAATCCAATCGAGTTTTCCAGGAATTTCCTTTCTATGCAAAGTTTCCAATAGAAACTATTCTATTAAAAAACAATAGAATTTCGAGTTTCTATACATATTTTTCTATTGAGACATTTTTTATAGAAATTCCTCCACAGGAATTTTTAAAGTCTTTTCCACTCTACCTTTCACCTCTTTTCATTTAAACCTCAAACAACAGAAACTAAAGAAACTAAAGAATTTGAGTCGAGGAATTTCTATAAAAAATCGAAGTCTATTGATTTTTTCTATAGAATATATTCGATTAAACATTTCTAAGCACTACTTCGAAATAAAATTAGTAAATGATTCTTCCCAGATGAAAAAAATCCCAGATAAACAAATTCCCATTGGCATGGAATTTCCCACATCTGGACACATTTTTCATGGTTACCTGCACAATTGCTCTTAGCAGGACACATATTTCTGTCTTTCGAGCTCGATGCCTTCCTATATTTCCCATCGAGGCAAACCGTTTTGGATCCAACGCTACCTGGACGAGCGGATATCCTGGGGTAAGGGAGAGTGTTACTGTCCGTCCACACCATGTTCGTCTGAGATGATTTTTTATCATTTGGCGATGTGTAACAGACACTCAGCGCTGGTGTCTTTCTGCATCGAGAAGATTCACGCCTCTCTTCGGGTTTCTGACGGCAGAAAACCTCGAATTTCGAGGGGAGGATCGAGCGAGATTTGTCACGTTGGTTCGTCCAACAGTCTTTCATGAGCTTCGACGTCGATGTCCGGGTCGTTCTATTCGAGATATGAATTATTAGTCAAGTCACGCACGTGGAAATTCTATTGAATTTCTATGGAAATTTTATTGAAATAGTATATTTCGTAATTAGGCCGAAAAAAACTTCTCTGGCGAATATGAGTTAATCATATGAGCTAGAAAAATTTCTTTAGGCCATGTGACGAACATTATTTTTTGTCATAACGGCTCTAAGCAGTGCCTTATGGCCGGAATGACAAAAATTCTATTAGTTTTTGGCCGATTCTATTGAGAATTCCACATACTGTTGTGTTTTTACTGTTTTTGCTATAGAAAATGGTAATGGAAACTACTGTATAAAAAAAATCTATAGAATTGCATCTTTCCATACAAATGTTTCTATTGATCCATTTTGTATAGAAATTGGTTGACATGAATTTTCAGACTTTTTTCCACTGTACACTGAGGGAAAAAAAAACACGTCAAACAAGTCTTGTTTGGGCCATCAAAATCGCTACTTGAAAATTGCCAAAAAAGAATTTGTTTGATTCAAATTTGAAAGTGTCAAACATGAATAATTGGTCTGCTGTCAACAGCAACGAAATATTTGGCTCAAGAGACGGATAATTCATACCAGACGGTGCCTTTTCAGGATAAAAATATCTCATACAGAGGAAAATTTATCAACAAATATTTTATCGCTAAGTTACAAGATTGCTATCATATCATTATTATTGTTCCATTTAAGGATTCATTTCTTGTCTGTGATTATTAGACAGCCGAAACGAAAAACTACTATCCCTTGTTTCGTATAAAACAAAGATTTTTCGGGAGCAAAATACGTATGGGAATATCGAATAACGAAGGAGTAGTGCTAGAAATGACATTTCTTGCGTGTACAGAGAATGCAATTTTTTTCAACTACTAAATCTATTTTTGCGACAAAAATTTTTGATTCCGGCGCACTCTCTGGATGTTTGGCCCAAAAAAATACTTTTTTGCTAATTTTTAAAAAAATATTTTCTTAGCACAAGTAAGTCTTGTTTAAGAACTTTATCGTTTTTCTCTCAGTGTATTTTTCTTCTCTTTTCGTTGCAAAAAAAAACAAGAAAACTCTGAAAATTTACGCCCAGGAACTTCTATAGAAATAAGAAAAAATACATTTAAAAAATTATACTAAACAAAATCTATAGAAAAATGAAAATCCATTGAATTTTTGTCTGTAAAATATCTCTCAACAAAATGGTAACAACAAAACATTTGGAATGTTTTAACATAATTCTAATAAACCTTTAAGAGAATTCTTATAGAGTTCCAATAGAAAATCAATGCAGTTTTACTGCCGAGGGTATTTAACAAAAATTGTGAAAATTCATCCCCAACTCACGTATTCCCCTCATCAGTAGAGTTACACGGTAAACAAGGCGTCCAACATTCCATTCTTGGATTCTTCAAGACCTTCAGGGCCTCGTCATTCAGTGAGGTAACGCCCTTGAGGATTGCTCGTTGTATAGCATTCTCATAATCAGCCATTTCATTCATTATTTTCTCGTTTTCACGGCGAAGACGACCCACCTCAGCTTCCAGCTGAGAATAAATTCCAATCATTAGTTCTTGCATGAAGACACGCACATTTTTATAATTCCCTAGAAACACCTAGCGAATTCTATAGAAAATGTTGTTCGATTTTTATTCAACTTTCTATTAGTTTTTTTGTCATTCCGGCCGTAAGGCAGCGTTTCACGGACGCTCCGCGTCTGTAAATCTCTGCCTACGGCCGTCATGACAAAAAATATTGTTCATCATACGGCCAAAAAAAACTTTTCTGACGAATATGATTGCAGCCCTCGCCTTCGGCTCGTGCTGCAAACCTCATATTCGCCAGAAAATTTTTTTTCGGTCTAATGACGAAATATACTATTTCTGATGAATATGATTGCATAACCTTATATTCGCCAGAAATTTTTTTTTCGGCCAAATGACGAAATATACTATTTTCGGCCCAATGACGAAATATACTGTTGGACGATTCTAGTGAAAAATTTCGCAGTTCATCTGCGCATTTTTCTATAAAGCTGTTTTGATTGGACATTTTCTGTTGAAAAAACGGGCAGTAAAGCCACGGAATTCTTCAGAGAATCGACCACAAACTGATAGAATTTTCAATAGACGTTCCATCAAACTGCAATAGAATTTTCTGTTGGCATAGCAACCCTATATATTTTGCGCCTATGCCGGGGCGAAAAATATCGTTCTAATAACCACGGGATGTAATATACTATTTCGTCCCTTATGTGTGAAAAATTCGACTTTATTCCCGCCTCAACAGGAAGAAAGTGGCCGCCGATTCCCTAGAAATCATTGCGCTCATCTGTCAATTGTTTTTCATATTATCCATTGCCTTATATGATTTTTTCAAGACGACAGCGAAGCCGGACTTCTATTTTCTTGGAGTAAAAATCAAAACCTTTGGATGGAGCTATCCAGATCGTTTAAAATCATCAAAAATACGGAAAAAAAACGCAGGATTCAATTTTATAGAACGAATTAGCGACTCTTCCCTGTTCAAGGATCTGAATTTTTGTTGAACACAAGTGGTTCACACAAATGGAAATTTTATACAAATAAATAGAAAATATGTGGTTGAATAAGATTAATCAACGGAAATGATGTAGAACGTCACCCTGGGATGCAAGCAGCCACTTAAGTTAGGTGGCTGTTAGGTGGCTACTTGTTTTGGTGTAAAAAAGGGTAAGTGATACCTGAAACGATTATGGATGTAAAACTATGAATTATTAAGGAATTTTAGTAGCTTTAATGACATTAATCTCCATTAATTAAGGAAAATAACAGTTTGCGTATTGAAAGGGAAAATAAATCAGTAGGGGGAACGCCGCCGGATGGCGGCAGTGTCGACTTCTCGCCCAGGCCGATAAAGTCGGCAGCAGTGGCGGGAGAAAATTGATTATCCAATAGGTTCATATTGNAGATATGTAGGAGGAGAATGCTGCGGGTCAAATAGGGGCGAAGAGGGGCATCAAATAATGAGATAAATAAAATAATGGAATCTAAAAATTTAAAACTTTGTGAGAAGTGGGGGGAAGAGTATGTATACGGAGGGTTGAGATTTTCACCCGTTGATGGGGGGGGGGCAGAATTTTTATGAACATTATATATATTTTAAATTATGTTGAAAAAACAATTGAAAATAATGTTCTAAATAACTATCTGCTTATGCATTGATTTTCGAATTAAAAAATTAATTAATTCAATAAGTAAATTAATTTATTCACACGCTCGGTTTTGTTATCTGTGAAAAATAGACGCAATATATCCAGAGGAATGAAAATTGAAGGGTGGTGAGGGGGAGGGGTCTGAGATTACATTTTTATGAATTTTA